AGACATAGTCTTAATAAAAAAAAAATCATTGTATATATTCTATGTTTATTTCTTATTTTCATGATGAATTAATGATGATGAAAGTTTGCAGGACATGACATCAACTTATTTGAAATATATTCTAAATATTGAGGTATCATGATGCTTTTTTCGGTTAGGTCTAATGTACAGCTTATTTCATGTTTTTAACATAATTATTCTGACATACAAAGAAACATTTCAAGAAGAAAATGCAATTCTTGAACTAAGACAGAAACAATTGAAATAACAAAATATGATAGAAAATTGTAAAATACAATATTTAAATAACATTATTATTCAATCAATAAAATAAAATAGTACAGCCTCGCTAAATAGCTATTGGGTCATTTGATAGTATAATAATTAATAAATGATTAATTGGAACATAAAGAGTGTTTTTGGTAGACGAAATAAACTTTCTAAGTCTAGTTTGTAATTAACGATTTTGCTTTTGGTGGATTGTTAAGGATCAGAATGTACACTGAAAAACAAGTATTGTCTTTTCCGACGTCATACTTAATGTCCTATATCAAATCTTAATTGGATATGAAACATACAATTGCACAGTTAATTTATCTAGTTTATTTTTCTTTCTTTCAAGGGTATATGGCAATAAATTACAATATTCTATAACAAAAACATCTTGAAAATTTATAAACTGTATTAACGCTTGAAATCAGGTTTAAGACCCGTCGTAAAGCCGTCTGCCTAAAATTGTTAACAACTGCGCAACATGAAATATTATGGTTGTAAAAAGAATGGTCTTAAAATGCGTGATATTTGAATAATAATTTTATATAAGTTAAGTACAAACTGTGTTCCTGTGTTAATTTTCTCTGATAAAGTATGTGTTCAGTTTAATTTATACTCTCCTGCGCATCGGTCGAATGTTCCACTATCGCTGACGCTCACTTCTTACTATTCAGTGAGCTGCGAAGGGAGCGTATTTAATTTAATGATCGCCTGAGATAACTTGTATGTTAAAAATCCATGTTTCTTGAATCATATATTTCGAAAACTAGCAGTACATGGGTAAAATGCATATTAATCCGAAAATGCGCCCTCGTAACGTAAGAGTTATAGCGAAATTAAAGCTTTTCAATAACCGCGAGGAAATGGCTGCAATAAATACCTTTGTATTTGCTAGGAATCATCATGATTCTATAGGGCACATGTTTTGCACATTTTTGTGTCTATTTAATACCTTGATTTTTATTTACCGTTGACTACAATATATTATTCAAAACATAATGAAAATTAATTTGATAAATACTATGTGGCTACTATAACTGGCTGCGGTACATACCGGTGTGGCGTGAATTTTGTAAGACCCGTGAGGAACGTAAGACTTTATGTTCTGCGCATGCGCAGATAGTTGTAGAGAATAGCATGCTACTGTCTTTTGATATCAATTTTTTCAGGCGAGGCTGATATGGGTTAGAAAGGGCGAGGCTTGTAGAAAATCTACCCCTACTGGTTGGCGACCTACAACCGGACGTTTTTACAACATTTTTCACAATATTTTGAAAACTGTTTACCTGACACGCTCAATATTCAACCTTGGGGAAGTTAGGTTCAAGGCCGCTGTCACGACATGGGTTTTTCTTTTTTCTAAATATAGAACACCCGTTATTGAGGCCCTAACGTAGGGTCATTAAACTGTATAAATTAAGCTTAAAACAGGACCATGTTTCCGGACGCTCTGTTAAACATTCATAACACTTCAAATTTATAATTTTTTGACTTTTTTACTGTCAATCATTAATAAGTAAGATATTTTACCTCAATATTTATTATTCAGGTTCATGTTTTTCGCCTATAAATAGAAAGCATGTATTAAAAATAAGCCGTACCGTTACTTATGTCGGTCAAAAGCTATACATAGCTTATGTTTTGTAAAATGTTATATATATTCCGACAATAAATAAATTTTGATTTGATTTGGTAATATGCAAAATGACCAAGAGCTCATGCAACTTCACAGGTAATATGTCTCTCTGTCTGACGTTGAAATATCATCATATGCGTTGATTTTAACTTAAATACCAAAGGAAGACTGAATTGTTATGTTTATTATACGAATCTTTATGTCAATTATAGACGTGACATTCGTTACCACCTGGTTTTAGAATAAAAGGAAACTAACATGATTTCTAGTTCTTTATCAGTAATTTGATATTATATCCTTTCATCTTTGATAAAAATACAAATAATATTTATTTCAATTTTACATATGAAAGTATCACATATATACACATATATACACATATTAACATGAATGAAACATTTATTCCTCTTGGTACAGCCAGGGTTTACATTTGCCACAGTACCAGTCACTCTTCTCTTCCATACTCTCTCTTAAACATTCTCTCTCTTTCATACTTAAACATTCTTCATGATACCATTTCTCACACATACTCTCATCACAACCATACCACATCACACCATTTAACTCGTCATTCATCCGACCTCTCTCCCCACACACTCCACACGTAAATTTTCTATTAGCCAATCGTCCACACACAGCTCTCCTAATTTGTTCATCTTTCTTCTGTCTTTCTCGACGTTCCTTCTCTTCTGTCTTTTTCTGTTTCTTATGTTGCCTTTCTTCAATGTCCCTTTCTTTCTGCTCCTTTCTGAATTCCTTTAGCTTACGCCTTTCTTCTTTTGCCTCCTCCAATTTTCTTGCATTTTCTTCCTTTTCCTGAAACATCCATATACCCTTTATATTAATTTTTCGATCAGCAAATTACTCTAACGTTTGTTTCACTGTAAAAAATGGCAGAAAGATACGCGCAGTCAAATACACAACAAATTATAATGCTATAAGTACCAACAGCTCTCGACCTTTGTTCCATTCCGTCAGTATCTTTATATAAGAAGTCAGGTAAGTAGGAAGGTGGTAAGTATTGAACTTTGCTTTTAGAACAATGGAAGTAAAATATTTACTTGAAAATACACACTGATAAATATAAAACAATTGATTAATTACTAAAACAATATATCTATAATATATCTATAAACATCAATTTTTTGTAATACTAACGCCGTGAAAAATATTTCACATAACATTTAATCTCTGTCAAATCGATTTCTATTTTGTCATTATAGGTAATACATGTATATTTTTAATGCAATAAACTACTAGTAATATATGGTTTAGAATAGATACTTTTAACTGTTTAAGTATCTCGTCACCGCTAATGACACGCCCCTCTGCCACAACCCGGGATTTTTTGGTAGGATTTACTTTCATTTGGGCATTACATGGAGGGATCAAGATTTGTGCCATAGATGCAGGAATAAGTCCTTGGTCTATCAATGGGTTAACTAGGAAGGAGCCACACGATTCACATGTTCGCAACATTAGTACTTTCTGTTCTTCCGGCTGAAAAATATTCATGCGGTATATTATTAATGAACAAGTCCGGAGGAACAAACATTATGATGACAACAAATATTTAAAACATAATTATATTCAAGTATAATAGATACATGGGTGTATTGAATATTTTACCTACACGGATAGTTCATTTGTATAAAAGTGAAATGTCAGAAAAAAGCACTTACTTTCTTCATTTCTTCGCACAAAAGTTGGTGGTATAAGTTGACTTTTGTCGATTGCCTGAGGGTCAAATGGGATAATGCCCGTGAGCCGGAACGCTTCTCTTACAGATGACGGTGTAGTCTGTTCCAGTGCATGCCTTAAAACAACTGGAAAATTCCCTTGCTTATCGTTAAGTTTGGATTAGCAAAGCCCAGGTTGGTGGCTAGGGAACTGAATCTCCTCTTCAGTGGTGCATTAACCTGTTATTTATTTATTTAAAATTATTTACAGCCAAGCATTAAATACAATCAAAAACTGTATAATTATTGCGAATAATTATTATAATAATGATAATTTTTATTATTTACAGCTTAACATTAAATCGCTTCACAACTGTATATTTATTCAAATATGAAGCAAAATTGAAATACTTTACGTGATTTGTACTACGTAAGGAGAAAGCATTATTAAGAAAAATATATTCTTAATATATATCAAACCTTCACATCTAATGGTTGCAATATATGCGTTGTATGTGCAGGCATTCCAACCAATATTACGTTGTTTGCACGAGCTGTCTCAACTAATGGCAGCGTCACATGAGAGTCGTGATTATCAAGTATTAAAAGAACGGGTCTTTCTCTGCCGCAGTTCAAGAGAAAAATTCTTTTAAACCACGACAGAAAAAAGTTCCCCGTCCATATACCCAGACATAGATGTACCGAAAATCCACGAGTCTGGAATACCTTCAGTGAAATTTCGATGCGGGTAGGATTCCTGTAAAATAATAAAAAAAATGAAATAGAATAAATGATGAATTAGTATTTTCATTTACATTAATCAGTCATTTAAATCTGTATATCAATAATAAGTGGCTAAAAAGAAATGTATATTTACTTTATAAATGATCATTGGCGGCAGTATTTTTCCATCTCCGCATATACAGAGATTCGCCGTGACGTGGTCATTTCTGATGTTTTTATTTGCGAAAACGTGTCCCTGTTTTGGCCCGAGCACTTTTGTCCGCGACCGTTCTTTCCCCGACCACCCAGTTTCATCAACATTGAAAATCTGAAAGATGAATATGTATGAAATTACATTCAAACGATAGAGCATTTATGTATTGTCTTCAGTGCGGGTTAATAATTTAATGTCAATAATCGTGATGAATAATTCAAATGAAAATTAGCTAGGAATAGTTAAAATACCTGTGACTCTTTATTTTTCAAGTCATTTTCGTCTAGAATTGATTCCAGAAGGCTGAACCAACCATCCATGGTTTTTTGGCTTGACATCCGTGCTCTTGATTTATCAAGATTTTCAGGCGTTCTTTCAGAAAGCATCGGATTACGCTTCATGAATGCCCTAAACCATTTATCCGACGGACCTTGTCCAGCATTGGCTGTTTCCCGTCCTAAAAATTGAATTCAAATATATGTGTGTACATTTCTAAATTTATATAAGCCTACAACACATGCACTATTTAAATTTTATATGAACATTTTAAAAAAGATATTTCAAATCATTACTAACGTTTGATGACTGGCGTCTTTATATAAACAGGTATAAAGTAACTTAATCTATCTATCTCTGGATACTGCCAACCCCTCTTACGAGTGTTAAAGTGTTAATCGTATCGGGTTTCTAATTTACCTTTACGTTTGAGGATTTCTCGGACATAGCACCTAACCATCGTCCTTGTCATGGGAAACCCTGATGAGCCATGTACTGGATAAAAGCTACTAATGCTTTCTCTTCTTCAGTAGTAAGGAGGCGGGGCATTTTTTTCATGTTTACGTGAGATGAATTCACTTTCAGTCTGTCGTGCAACGTGCTTTTCGGCACTCCAAATTCTCTTGCTGCTGTCCTCGTTTTCAGTTTCTTTTTGTTTCACAGCAGAAATTGCCTTCTGCAGGCTGTCTGCGGTATATTGTCTAGCTTGCATTTTGGGAACTGTGATTGAGAAAAAATTAAGTAGTCACGGTCAGTCGGCATTTAGATATTTCAATAAATAATTAATATTAGATCTACAAACATTATTATAAGCGAGTCATCAATTAAATTATATTGTGAACTACATTTTTTAATCACATACACAAAATAAAACAAAAAGCACGGCTTCAGCACAACGTTATTTAATATTTGCAAAGAAAGACAATCCTTCTTTTAAATATTAGGGAGAAATAGTGCGAGTTACCTCCCTTGAATTGAAAAATTTGGCGTGACCCGTCCCTGTTTTATTTAAAAATTTGTTTTCATAATATGTATTTGCACAAAACATTATGCACTTTCATAAAATGATACGTTTAAGTTGTAGGGTATGTCTAAGTAAGTTATAGTTAATATATATCTTTTTGCAAAAGTTCGTCTGCTTCATATTTTCTTAAAGTTGACCCCTTTAAACTTGTCCGGGCCTCAGCAAAAAAATTTGCGCATGCGCATTGCGTTATATTTGACTTCCCCCGCGAGTAGGCACACAGCGAACTCGCAGACAAACGTAAATATTGCATTTTCATCAATTATACTTACATATCGTTGAAGTTGTTGATTTTGGTTGCTGCAGAATCAAGCGCTTGAGTGATCGACAACAGTTGATCAAATTTTTCGCGAAAATAAAGCGTTTACGCGTGTGTCCGGATTGGTGGACGTCCGGATTTGTAGGTCGCTAACCAGTATACTATAAGTTATATAACAATTCCTCCGCCCCTGAAACTTAGAATTTGTAAATTGCGGCCATTTTTTCTTTCGACTCGAGATTATTTCCTGTGATAAAAGATACAACAGAATGTAACACGATAAGATTCTTACCTTTAAACATCGATCCAAAAAATCCCTAAGAATTATATAAACTTTTCTGCACTTTCTGTCTTGAATTGTCAAGTTCAAAAGTTCAGGATAATTTCAATCAAACAAAACTAAAATCGGCAATCAAACACAAGCTATACAAACATGCGTCTAATATTTTGAACGGAACAAATTATTCACTTATTAAATAATAATCCGGCGAAATAAAGTAAACATTTACAAGTTCTCAAAGAAAATCGTCTAGCCTGTTTGTAATGTTTACATGTATACATGTAACGTAAAGTGCCTTAAAGTCGCCATGATCCCATTGTCGTCAGTTTTTTGTATTCTCGTTTTCTCTCGCTCGCGTTATCTTGAAGTAGTAAAGGCGGCTTATTTTGAAAGGTGAATATATTTTCTATTTCATTGCACTGTTCTACGTTATATTTGTAAATAACTACTCCTAAGATACGACGAATAAAAGCATATATGTGTTTGATAGATGAAGTAAGAGCTGTCGACGATCCAATGTCTTCAGCAGCCACAATAGGCGAATTAAAATTGTAAACACGTGGCCATTTGTAATCCGTGGGAAGTAACTCTGTCCAATAGATCATATTTTTTGTTTTGTATTTGTAGCTTCCCTTCGAAGCAAACACTACCTAGTCTATTAAAAGTAACCTTTAAATTAAATGACGACTTTATGAACCAGTTGACGAGATTTGGGCATATGTTTTGAAAACAGTCCTCACAATTTTAAGTTCATTATTTTTGCTACGGCATATAAAGGATGTTGAAATAACATGTGAACTAGGTTTTGTTTATGTAAAGCGTAAATATATAAGTTTAAGATCGAATAATATTTTGTATAATTAAATCAAACTAAAACTCATATAAATTATGATAATCTTTGCTAATCATGGAGCGGTATGGGTGAATATTTTGTTCATTCCAATTGTAATCACATGATTGCTAGATAAGGCGCGAGTTAGTTTGAACAATGTTGAAGTCAGTAAGTTGTCGTCATAGAATTCAAGAAACTATCATCATTACATGATACCCGATGGTGATTGGCCCCGACACAATTAAACTTAAATACCTTTGTTATATCTTAAAGGAATAAACATACATTATATAAGTCAATTCACTTGCAGGTTATTTAGGCTCATATAATTACTTTCCTGTTACGATTTTAAAAATATTTTCAACTTCCTGGCAAATTTAAAATACTTTCCTTACTTGTAGTTTTACTCCTTTTCTTGATCAGATATGGAAAATCAATCCAAACGCCCAAAAAACTCCGAAAATGGTCGGAGGAGTCGATGTCTGCAGCATTTAGAGCAGTCAAAACAGAAAACGTGAGCATATCTGCAGCTGCAAAATCATTCGGAGTACCAAGGATGTCGTTATCTGATAGAGTTTATCACAAAGTACCACTTCATAAATCTAAGATGGGAGTAAAAACCGCCTTAACTGATGAAGAAGAGACAGCACTTTGTAATTATATCACATACATGGCCAATCGTGGATTTCCTTTATCTGCGCCACAGCTCTTAGGATTTGAATTGTGTATAGCAAAGGAACGTAATAAAGAGGGCGTTTTTACAAAGAACGGACCAAGTCGTAAATGGTTGCGAGGATTCAAACGCAGACACCCTAACCTGAATCTACGTTGCCCAGATGCATTAGACAGAGGACGTGCGTGCCTTGGCAACGTCAACACTCTTAGAGATTATTTTGAATTGCTTAAAGAAACAATGGATGCAAATAAACGCAATGATAAGCCAAGCCAGATTTATAATTGTGATGAGGCCGCCCTGTATCTCAACAAATCTGCTGGACAGAAGGTTTTAGTTCCTACTAGAACTAAACATACACATTCTTTATCAGTTGCAACAAATGAACACATCTCAGTTCACTGCTGTGTTAACGCTGCTGGACATGCCATTCCTCCAATGATCATCTTTAGCAAAAGTTTGCCAGGTGGTGCGTACCATAGTAACGGACCAATTAACGCAAGCTATGCCTGCTCTGACAGTAGTTTAATGGACCAGACACTATATTCCCAATGGTTCGGGAAAACGTTTCTCAGTCACGCTGTTCAACAACGTCCACTGCTTATGATACAGGATGGTGCTCCTTCACATGTTAGTGTCGAATTAATCAGATCAGCGATTGAAAATGACGTTATATTATTATGTCTCCCGCCAAGACCACTCACATAACGCAACCATTAGATGTAGCGGTATATCGAAAAATGAAAATTGAAACTGCTAAAGTAGTAAGTCAAGCAAAGATGGTTAAGTCAGACCTTTGGATTTCTAAAAACAAAGTCAGTGCTATGTTTAAAATTATATTCGAAAAAAGTTTTACACAACATTGTATTACAGAGGGTTTCAGAAAATGCGGCATCTTTCCGTATGATCCTAATGCTATCGACAAAAGTCTGCTTTTGCGATCAAATGCTGATATTGATCCAAGCACTATTGATCTCTCTGTGAAGTCAGTTCAGCCTGTTGCAAAAGAAGCCTCTCCAGGATCTACTACTAATCAGGTAGCCTCGGATATCAATTCAAGTGACAACGATTTAGTACTTGACAGCTCATTCTCTTGGTTACAGGGCAATGATACGGAGCCAATATTTGATGTAAGTTTTTCAGTCGGGGAGGACGGTATACTTACCCTTGAACAATCGTCTGGCAACTCAGAGGCAGGCGCAGAGAATATGAGCAGTACACCAGATGAAGGACAGGATTGTCCCCCGGAACTGGCTTTCTCTGCCGTCGAACTGTCGTTAACACCTCGTAAGAAACGCAGATTTGAGGAATGTTTTGATTTAAACATTGAGCTTAACAATCCTCTATACAAGACTTGGTATCATCTCAAAAATAAAGTACGTGCTATACATAACTTCGAAGCTCAAAATGAAACCCCTATTATTGATGACGAAGTAAAAACCACGCCTGTACCAGAAACCGACGCACCAGTTAAGGACTGCCCTGTTATCAACCATCCACTAGTAAAAGCAGGACTTATCCCAAATGATCTTGTTAATGTGCTGGTTGCGCCACCACCACCTTCTTCGTCTAAAGGTAAAAAGAAGGAGCCAGGGAAGGCAAGAGTCTTGACAAGTACAGATGTACAGCAAGAAATTGAAACAAAGGAAAAGAAGAAACAACAGGACATCAAATTAAAGGAAGAAAGAAAACAGCAACGATTAAACAAGAAGATAATAAAGGAAAAAGAATTATTAAGAAAGAAAGAGGAAATGAAGAAGAAAAAAGAACTGATAGCAAAACAAAGAGAAGAAAAACTTAAAATTCAAATGGAAAAAAGACAACTAAAGCTACGTAGGAAAGACGAAGCCCAGCACTTATAAATAGACACACAACACATAGTATCAACAACATTATTTTTGAAAAAATTACACTTATTTTCTTTTCTCTTCAGGTATAATGAAGAAATTTGTCATAAGAAACATTCAAGTAGTTGGAATGCACCATTACGGTCGCCGGGAGTTAGATCGGTTAGGGTCATACATAGTTGATGTCGAGGCTAACAACTCATATGATCCAACCGCCGTGGCAGTATATGATGGCCAACGTAAAGTCGGTAATCTGAAGCGAGACAGCGCGAAGGCAATTCACGAGGTTATAACCGCCAACAAGTCCAAATCAAAATACTTCCTTAGACCTATTGAAGAACCTAAAGTGCTATCAAGACGTGTTGGACCTCAACAAACATGTGCTATTGTTTTTAAAATACTTGAAACAGACATCGAGTGTATTACACAAGTAGTAAATAAGCACAGCATAATATACGCAAAAGTAATGGAATTGCCTTCAAAACGTTCAACTTAAAATGTCAAGGTCATGGGTTATTAAGACTCTTCGTGTTCATGCTAATTTTTCGTTACATGTACATTTGTTCTTGAAAGTCATTTAATATTGTTTGTGTTCACTATATTTTGCTGGCTGCATAACGTTTAGATGTATATAACAACATTTCAATACTATATGTTTTTGTCAAATATTATATCAAACTAGATATCATTGTTAAGCTTTAAATTTTTCTTTGATATTATTTGTCAGAGTAATTTGCAATAAATTGCATTTTATTGGTTTTAGATTAAATATTTTTTTAAAGATTAAAACAGTTCTTCATGTTTGCAAGATTTTTTTTAAAAACCAGAAAATTTGACGACTTTAGGTCCCCATTGACGACATTTTGCTCCATGTGTTGACGACTTAAGGGTTCATTTGTCCTATGGTCGTCAGTGAGACACCTGTCTGGTTTCCCGTCTTGTATCATAAATGTTATTTATACAGCATGCGTTAATTTTATATCAAAATGGCCAGAAAAGATGCAAGTTTGATTTGATGACGACAAGGAACCAGTGCATTAATATATATCGTTGTGACGGTGCGTAAAATATTCGAAGTTGACGAGTATAGGGCACTTTACGTTAGTATGACGTGGACATCGATGATGTCATTTGCAATATAAATTATGACGTCACTTCATTTAGTTGGAGCTTAAACTATTCGCTATCTAATTTATTCGTAATTGAAATCGAAATAATGAATAAATAAATATCGCATCTTGATTTCAAGACTTAAGGGTATGATATTACATTGTAGAATTTACATGCTGATGAAAATGAGAATATAATCAATTGAAACAAGTCCGTTAAAATGGGCGGGGCTTATTTTTGATATCAGGTCAAAAATAATTATCCGGCAAGTGTAATCGGGCAGTTACCATAGCAGTTGCATTATTTATTGATTGAATTTTTATTACCCGAAAGTGCGGTCGTTTGTCTGCATATGTACCTGTTGAACGCGCTTTGGTGTCAATTGTACCCCAAAGTGCGGTGTTTCACCGCTTTCTGCCTCGTTATCGGCCTAGTACTCCGACTATCATCATTTCGTCGGTCGACGCGTCATATCTGTCAATTACCAGCTTACCACATCAAACAACGGCATATTTACCTAAATATCTTGCATAATTTGCCTAACTCAAGTCTACACGTATTTGTACAAGTTGTGTAAAGTTCTCACGCAAGGAAAAAACCGACCTGTCTATCATGTAAAGTCCACGCTCTTTACACAAAAGTATAGTTTAATATGCTTTTAGTATCTGGTTATCTTATTTTTTATCTTATTTTAGTGTCTGGATATTCTATATTTAAGTCTGATTTTAGAGTCTGGATATTCTACATTTAAGTCTGATTTTAGAGTCTGGATATTCTACTTTTTATCCTATTTTAGAGTCTGGATATTCTACATATAAGTTTGATTTTATAGACAAGTTACCCTTCATTTTTAAAAGTCTGAATTAAAAGTCTGCTATTCTACATTTAGGTCTGATTTTATAGTCAGATTAGGTTACACTGGAGTCTGAATTAAGAGTCTGGATATCCCACATTTCAGTTTGATTTTTGAGTCTGGATATTCTACATCTAATTCTGATTTTAGAGTCTGTATATTCTACATTTAAGTCTGATTTTAGAGTCTGGATATTCTACATTTAAGTCTGATTTTAGTGTCTGGATATTCTACATTTAAGTCTGTATTTAGAGACTGGATATCCTACATTTAAGCCTGATTTTATAGTCAAGTTATTCTACATTTAAGTCTGAATTAAGAGTCTGGATATCCCACATTTCAATTTGATTTTAGAGTCTGTTTATCCTATACATTTAAGTCTGATTTTATTGTCAGGTAACCCTACATTTAAGTCTGAATATCCTACATTTAAGTCTGATTTTATAGTCAGGTAACCCTACATTTAAGTCTGATTTAAGAGTCTGGTTATCCTACATTTAAGTCTGATTTTAGTGTCTGGTTATCCTACATTTAAGTCTGATTTAAGAGTCTGGTTATCCTACATTTAAGTCTGATTTAAGAGTCTGGTTATCCTACATTTAAGTCTGATTTAAGAGTCTGGTTATCCTACATTTAAGTCTGATTTTAGTGTCTGGTTATCCTACATTTAAGTCTGATTTAAGAGTCTGGTTATCCTACATTTAAGTCTGATTTAAGAGTCTGGTTATCCTACATTTAAGTCTGATTTAAGAGTCTGGTTATCCTACATTTAAGTCTGATTTAAGAGTCTGGTTATCCTACATTTAAGTCTGATTTTAGTGTCTGGTTATCCTACATTTTAATCTGATATAAGAGTCTGGTTATCCTACATTTAAGTCTGATTTAAGAGTCTGGTTATCCTACATTTAAGTCTGATTTAAGAGTCTGGTTATCCTACATTTAAGTCTGATTTAAGAGTCTGGTTATCCTACATTTAAGTCTGATTTAAGAGTCTGGTTATCCTACATTTTAATCTGATATAAGAGTCAGGTTATCTGATTTTAGATGTGGGTTATCTTACAGATAACTCTGATTTCTTCGTTAATAATTATTATCTTGCATGACGCATTAAAAGTCTGCGCCTACGTGCTTTTGCAGCTGCTAGTGCTAGTGCACGGAAATAGGCGATTAAACTTGTCATTAGTATTAGTAACGAAATTATAACTCGCGCATGAACAACCTATGCAGTACAATTAGTGAGGATTTTATTGGCGTCCGCGCCGAAGCGCGGCGCTCTTATGGAATGAGATCAGATTTTGTGAAAGGGCGACAGCAACTTCTCGAGCCTATAGTCGGTCATAATAAAAGCCGAAAATTCCGATCGGTATGAGGGTGCTTGATTATTAAATAAGAATGAAATGTCGCGATATGTTACAATGAATTTTCGCAATGCAAACATTTACAAGTGAAATAACCTTTTCCGTCAATAAATCGCGCTCTTCGGGGTTTTTTATTTATCATTTTGTAGTACACAGTCGGTTATCATGTCATGGCATGTTATTGTTGTACATGTATCCTAGAATGATCAGTTGATGACCTAAATATTCCAAAAACCTATTTATAGATATATCTTTTTATCACTCCTATCGGTAAATGCCGGTCTCTCCCGGTCTATTTTGACCAGGATTTACTAGTGACCGGCGAATAGTACCACACGTTTATTGTCCGGTCTCTCCCGGTTTTGGAGTAGATGTTTGATATCGTTACAATTAGAAAAAAAACAACAATAGCATGTTTCATTTTATCTATATGAGATAAAAACAATAAATATGTACACGGATTTATATGTAATATAAATCCGTGATATGTACAACAATTGAGAAAAAGGTACATTTTATGGTATTAAAATGACATTATCA